AGAGGTTAGTCTAGACCAGCAGAGGTGATCTGAGAGCTGTCCTCCATTTGTAGCAGGTGTCTCTGAAGTCCTTGTTAATACTCACAAAGACAGAGTAGTCCCCAGGACTTTGAACAAGTTTATTTTTCTAGGAGCTAGTATGGAAGGGAAGTACTTCCATCTTGCCCTGATAACTCAAGCTTTATGTTTATAAAACTGAGTGTCAATAGTGGATTAAAGATATCAGAGGCAGCAGCAAGGACACTGGAGTGGATATAAGATCCACTTCCAGCTCCATTACTGACCTGTAATGACACTGCGCAAGAGCCCCTTTGCTTCCTTATGCCTTTATTTTCCCTGTAAGATGCTCATAGCAGGAAAAGTCTCTTACTACTGATTTGTACAGCACCTTGCACAGTGGATCCCCTGTCTTGAGTGAAGGCTGCAATTACTAACAAATACACATAATAATATTAAATAACTGCATGTGCATGTAACAAAACAGTATTCTGGCTGCACTTTAAGTCATTTTTTGGCATTGAAAGGTGATGACGAAGGCTTTACAGCTTGCTATACAGCAAAACAGGAGCACATAGCCTATTTCAGACAAGACTACTATAGCCTCTCCTTGCCCGATCTCACTCGTATAGTATCTACTGCCATCTCCATGCTACTGATTTGGGAATTCACCTACTCCTAATGTTTCTCTAGCCTTCCCACCCTGGAGCTCAGCCACTACTTTCAACTTCTCCTGGATATCTCTCCACCCATTTAAGTTGAATATGACTCTATTTCCTTCCTAAGCCTTCTCTGTCATCACCCTCAGCTGATTCATGCAGCCTATAAACCATAGATTATGTTCGACTCTTCCCTCTTCTTTGCTCCGCATACACAACGCATGCCTAATTTTGCTTCTGCTTTCTCTGCACCATCTCTGGAATCGCTCCTGCCTTTCTACCTTTTCAGCAAAAACTCATCTTCAGATACACCCCGATTACCACCTTTGCCTCCCCCACAAAGCCTCACTGCAAGTCAATATGACCCCTAAGATTAATTCCCTTTCCTATCACATGATGATACTTTCATTTATAAATCCCAATATCAGGTCCCATAGCTGCCAGCATCTTCAAACAAAAACCCTGGGATGGTCTAATTAGCATACATTTGCATAACACATTTTAATCAGTTGCTTCATACATGCCAGCTTTAATTCATTCCACTCCATTCACTTCTCTCCTACCTTCCAGCCACACATTCCTCTTGTTCTGAACAGATCTGCACACCCAGCCCCCAAGCAGTTTGTCAGGTGCCTCACCTAAGCTAAGCTGCCCTCTGTTAGTCCCATCTAAATAAAAGCAGAAGAAAGCACAGCTCCTTCCTGTGAGTCACAGCTCAGGGACTTTGGGGTGTCCATGAACTTAGAGGCCCATTCCTGATCCCCCCATCAGCTGCACAGGCCCTTCCTTTGAAGTCTGCTTGACAAATGTTCCCTTCCCTTCCCTGTGCAACCAGCTCAAGCCAGGCCTGTGTCTCCCTATTCAGTTTGATTCACCTTCCAGCAGTCCCTGGAGGCCAGACACCCCAATGAGTGCTCAACCCTGTGGCTGGAGCAGAGCTGCGATTTGTTACACAAGCTGCTTCTAGCAACCCTGTGGACTTTCCTGCTCAGTGCTCTGTTCTGAAATGAAGGATTGTGGGAACAAAACCCAGAACCAGAGCAACCCTCTGATCCCAGCAGTCTTTCCTGCCCACGTGCAGGGGGGCTGGACCCGATGATCTGTAAGGTCCCTTCCAGCCCCTAACAACTATGAAACTCTCCCCCCACCTTATTTCCCCCCCACTCCTCTTATCTGAAGCAGAGCCAGGGGTGAAGCTACCACTTCTCATTGGCTGTCCTAGTTCTTCCATGCGTCACTAGCCCCTTCACACCCATTATACCTTTTCATTATGGCCATAGTCTCCTCATTGTGGCAGCAATACCATCAGCTAGTTGGTGTACTTGAATTTTCCATTAGAGGCATGTTGACTTCTCCACACTGCTCAGGGCTTAGCCAACAGGCAACTGGAACTCTGCCTGCCCCCACCCAAGAGAAGCATTGCTCATACGAGAATAGTTTCTGGGTGATTTAGGGGTAGGGTAGGGAGTCACTTCTACCCAGGAGGCAGAGGTTCTCTGCCATGTGATTATGAAAACCTAAAACCTTGCCTACTTGGCAGGGTAAGATTTTCCTGGGTCTTCCCCATAAAAGCAAAGCCTGAGTTCACACAGCTGACTGCTAAAGACAAAAGTGCAGGAGGGGTATGGGGAAGATGGATGTGCTTAGTGACGTTCCCCATGGACTGGGGAAGGGAAGGCTAGGAACCCAATCCCTGAGCATGGTTCAGAGGACGCTGTTAGAAAACTACCAAAGAAGCAGAGTTAGGAGGAGGATAGGTAGCAACCTAGGGGAAAAAATGGGCGATGGTAACAGCACAGTCTTTTGAAGGAGAAAGTAAAAGGGCAGCCCAAGGATTTCTTGTACAGGAACTTGCTCTGCTTCATTAACTGGTACTGGTCTCAGGAACAGAGCTTAGACGTGGACAGTGCCAGCTGGCATTTTCACCCCTTTAGTCAAAAGGTCAGGGAAAGGAAAGGGCATCACAGGCTAGCAGGAAGCAGTTGTACCACAGCGACTCTCTCTGATCAGCTGAAGACCAATGGTGGCCAAAGTCCTTGGTTTACAGTAGGGGTGCTCAAGCTCCAACCGGTAGAGCGATGGCATCTGGCTGCAGGGCTCCCCATGGGTCAGAAAATTGGGGAGCGCAAGAATGATTGCAATTAATACTGCCACCCATCTGCTGAAACCAAATTACCAAACTCTGCAAGGCTCGATCGGGCCCTGCCAGGGGTGTTGCCATGCAGACTGGGGCTGGGCTCTAGCCCACCTCCGCCCTGCACAGTCACATTGGGGCAGGGGTGTCCACTTGCCAAATCGACCCCACTGGCAGGTCCAGCCCATATCCATGGAGTTGAGAGGCCTGTTTCCAAGTTTTTTTGCATTATTTCTTAAGCCCTCTGCAATGCTGCTCCACTGCTTTACCACCTCTGTTGCAATGCTGGCCTGATCCACCCGGTTAACAAACTATCCCTCCTGTGTTCATCTGCATGTAACCTCTTTCTGAAAACCCACCTCTGCTATTGGGCTGATGGAAATCTGGAGTCTCTGTGAACAGCATTTTTACACACCTTAACTACCGCACGTACTGCATACTTCCCTTATATATTTTTTAAAGAGTGACCTCTTCTGGGCAAAGTCCTGTATATTTTTTGTTTGGAAAGTCCCTGGCACACTGTGAACACTTACTGGAAAAATCATTATGAGAAAAGGTGTCTCCAGAGCAGTTAAAACTACAAAATACTTTCCATTATAAATGGTTAAAGACTGAATCTTTGCCACTTTCCATAAAGATCTAATTTTTACACTTCAAGCATTTCTCTGTTTGAATTCTTCCGGCAGGTAAAATGTCCAGGAAGGCTTTTGCCTAATCCCTTTAGCTCTTAAGATGTACTTGCTCTGCTTCATTAACTGGTGCTAGTCTCAGGAATAGGGCTTAGAGGTGGACAGTGCCAGATGCACTTTTTACTAGGATTAAGTCACTTCTGTGAGAGCTGAAACAAGTGAAAGTTGAAATGCTGCACAACAGTCTTCAATGGGAACATTAAAAAGCAGGGTGATCATAGCCTGTGCCAAGCACTGAAGCAGTTTGCATTGATGCATAACAACTAAACATCCAGTAAAGTTCAATAAATGGGCCAACTGCGTTAAATGTTTACTGTTAGACCACTTGGCCAAGAGTTTTCCCAGACTGTGGCCCCTTGTTGATTATAAGGTTTTTTAGCCCAAAGGAAGATGGAATTTCTATTCCTGGTATCCCAGAACAGAGTGCTTTTTTGGTGGTCTTAAAAAATAAAAATAAAAATAAAAAAAGCACACAGAAGGTAACTTTTTAGAAAACAGCGTATTTATTTTAGTTAAGATGGGAAGTTTGTGGAATATTTTTTAAAAGTAAATTAAATTTATTTAAACTAAACACATTTAATAAGAAGCGTACAGAGAACACATAATACCTTCCAGTAAACAAGGCTTCTCCAGGCACTGTGTGGAAGCAATAATATACTAACAGGAAAAATTCTTGTCCTTGAAAGCTCTCCTTTACTGTGCACTGACATCATATCTTGATAGATCTCTTAGCATTTTTTTTCTACAGCCACAATTTAACTTCTACTATCATTCTACCTTTTTGTTGTTGTTGTTAAGTGAGTAACCTCCACTTTAGTAAAGCATCACAGTTTTATTTGTATATACCTGGAATTTTGAGTCCACTCCTAGTCAAGATAATGGAAATAATTCCAGCAGCTTCAATGGAAACTGGATTGAGACCTTGAAAAACAAACTGCCTTACTATTACTGTTGAATACACAGCTGTTTTCACATAGCCTCCTCTCTGGGACATTGGGGTCAGGATTTAATCCTAGAATAGTGGTGCTCTAACCTCTGGGGCCCAGTGGGCCAGATGAATGGCCTAGGCCAGATCAGGCCCTGCCCCCATGCACTTGGACTGTGCCCTGTGTGCCATCAGTCTCATTTGTCCTAGTGCACAGGAATTGAACCTGTGCTGCCTCTGCTGGGCTCTGTGCACCCAACAGAGTGCAGAGTCGCATTTTCCAATGCACGGGGCTCCCCACAGGTTCAGACATTTGGTAGCAGGGGAGTGGCAACTGTTGCCACCACTCCTTGCTGCCAGATTTGTGGACCCATGGATAGCACCAGAGACCAAATAACACAGCTCCACGGGCCAGATCTGGCCCTACCTCCCCCACAACCCCATGCACCCCATTGGCTTCATGCTGCCTCCACCCGTCCCAGTGCATGTAAATTGGGAATTGTTTTGAGCACCCCTGTTCTAGTACACCACCTGTCCTGTCAGTAAGTCATAATATTTCTTTTATATGTAGCTTTTCTGAAAGATCAAGCTTCTGTATTGATGCTAAATGACAAGGATTGCTCTCCTCCCTCCCTTCCTCAACAGATATAGTGAGTCTGTGGCTTCTGCTCTACTCTGCTGTGTGTATAAGAGATCTCCCTGCTTTTTAAAAAAATAAGTCTGCTTTTCTGTTTCTGTCACTAGACAAGCTGGATGTCTCAAGATGAAACCTGGGAGCTTTTTATGGATCTTACAATACAGAGATGGGTGCAAAGCTCTTTAAGGATTCAGCTCCAAGTATTTTAGTTAAAATAGGTAAACGGAAATAATTTAAAAACCATCAATATAAAAATCACTTTTCTCTCAGGCAGGCTTTACTATCTTGGTATCTGTCACGTCATAATCCTACTAAGTTCACTAACTACCTAAGACTCTCCCTCGTTGGACAAAACTCAAATTTCCATTGTAAAGCAACAAGCAGGAGGGATTGTTTGTTTTCTTTCTTTTAATTTGAAAGCCTTTCAGAAAGCTTCATTCATTATAAAGAAGCAAAGGTCCTTGTCTTCTTTTGTAGATGATCTTTAAGAAATGGTAAATAATAAACAGATATATACATGTCCTTTCAAGAGTTAAGCGGTTGAATGATCATCATATAAGCATATCTTATCAGACATCATTACACTCTTTTTTGGATCAAAATTTTCCTGTGGGCAGAATGTTAAGGTGGACAATCATCATTGGCTCCAACAGCCATTTGAAGCCAGTAGTCCAAGCTCCTAAAAACAACAAAATTGTACAAGTTCTCTCCTCCCTTTTGGAAACCATGTTCATTTTCTCTCCAGGAAACAGGGCTGTCTGCAAAACCATGCACAGTTAAGGTCACCCATTGGGCCAGTTTGGGTTCATCAAAATAAGAACTGGAGAAAGACAAAAAGTTAATCACTAATTAGAACAAAACAGTGAGTTCCATGAAGTAGTACAACATAGAAGAGGATGACTTTAAAGACAGACGAAGCCACTTAATGAAAATTTATGACTACGTCAAATAATCAGTGATTTTGTTTACAGAAGTGTGGGATGCCTATAACATAACAAAAAGTTTACTGGAAAAAACATGTATTTTTTGTATATACTGTTTTAGAAGGTACATATGGAAAGCACAGAGATGTGGTTTTCCAGCAGGACCACTTATGCTTTGGTTGTCCTTCATACAGTCTGTTTTGGTTTATATTAAATTATTGAAGAGAAAAATCTGTTTTAAGGTATTTTAACTTATGAATTTCTTTAGATATTAAAAAGCTAAAAAGAAAAGAAATATGAGACCAAAATGAAAATGAAAAAGGCTGGATCTTTGAAGGTATTGTGCCCTACTTGACATGTGTAGCTGTAGGCTATCCACAATATTAGAAATATTTGTTATTTAAACAGAAAACAGCTTTTCTGAGGATTGGCTTTATTTGCAAGTGGGATAGCACAATAATCCAGAGTAGAAAACATATGGAAAGAAAACGTAGCCAAGCTGTTTTAAAGGATTAAGACTTCTGCCACCAGAAGGGAAACAGACTGCAAATCATAAACTAATATTAATAAAGGTCAGGCACTGATCAATGGTCTTAAGCAAAGACAAGCAGCCAAGAGCTTTTACATTCTAATCCCACCTTGTTGTCAGACTTGTCATGTAAGATTTGAAACTCTGGCCCTGACTTGTCCAGAGTGATCGAGGTGACATACTGTGGACCTGATTTTCAGAACTGTGATGTTTCTGAGCTGTGGGTGCTCTACTTTTAAAAAACTCAGGACATTGATCCCCTCAGGCAGGGCCTTCCCAAATTCAACATTACATGATATTCTGGCCTCAACCGTTATGCCTCATTTTCCTTATAAGCAAAAATAGAGATGATGCGCTTTGCTTATTGATGTTGTCAGGGAAAATGAGTATTTGTAAAACATTTTCAAGGTGAAAAGCATGTTTTAAAGAAAGTGCAAATGCTATAAAAATGACATGCATCTGATGTCCCTTACCAGAGCTGATCCAGTAACTGAATTATCTTCTCTGGAAGTATGAACCCAGTGATTGTGCACAAATAAGCTTGGTCCATCATAGTGCTGGGCTCAGGGCAGCAATAAGTTGATACAAAACTAAATGACTTGTTGTCTCTGAAAACAGAACACAAGTGAATGAAGAACTGCCAAGCCTCCTGTGCTAATGCCTCCCATTTTCCAGCTTATGCCACACATGCAGTGCCTAAACAACGGCTGAAGTGCTTCTGCCCAGACATTCAAGCTAGAAAGCACGAACACAGAATTGGAAGTGGCCTCCCAGGCCATTAAGTCCAGTCCCCTTATCTGTAGGCAAAAACTGACCCAAAGATTGATAACCCCTGCACATCACAGAATCCAGAAACCAAGAATGCCCTACACACAGAAAAAAGGAGCAGAGACAAAAACAATGGCAGAGAATTTTAATTGGTTAATGTGCTTAGAAGATTTTAAGAGGACTGTATCCTATGCCACAGAGTAGGGGTCAGAAACCTGTTAGTAGAGGCAGGCTGCCCATTGCAACTCTACTGTAGCTGTGGGCAGATTTCTAGCTGCCATTTCAGATGACCATGCTCTGTAAGGAGAGTTGTTCTCTGGCCCCGCTGTAGCTTCTGTTTACTGTTTCCATCAACAATTGTGATAAGCGAAGATTTGGAGCAACTAATTTGGTAATGAGGGTGTAGGAGGTGGGAGGGAGGGAGGGAACAGAGAGCTACCCTCCATGCACCTGGAGTGACAGCTGGATCAGTTGGTGATTGGTAAAACACAGGCTGGAATGGATGGAAGAAGAGAAATCAGCTGGCTATTCTTAAAAGAGAGACCAAATCAAACCTTTGCAGAACAGATCCAATCTCTTCGTAGACCCAACCTGGCCTGCAGGGGCATTGGATCTGGCACGTGGAGGTTCAGTGGTGTTCCAACAGTGGATCCGGGCAGTGGACAGCTGCTGAACACCAGGGGGTAGAGAGCTCTGCCCTCACTGTGGTCACCAGGGAGAAGTGACAGGCAGCTAGGCTGGAACACCAGTCAGCCTTGAAACCAAGTAAGGCTGTTCTGGCCCATGCTCCAAAACATTGCAGACTGTTCCCATAAAGCAAGGCAAAACTCTCTACAAGTCCTTGTCTGATAGCAAAATCCCCACTCTTATCTGGTGGGAAAATTCCTTGCTGCCCCCAAAATTTGGTGAAAGGTTTAATCCTGAGCAGAAAGTAAAGATCCTCTAGCCAGGAATTTATGACATTTCTAAATACTGGCAGGAATACTAACACTTCCCAATCAAATCTCCAGCCTTAGCTGTAGCCAACATCCAGTGCTTCAAAATGTGGCAAAAAGGAAAAAAAAACCAAAACCCAGAAGCCAATGAAGTATTCATGAAAGGGGAAAATAATCCTTCCTGGCCTGTGCAGGCAACTAGCAAATGCCATGAAACATGGGCATGCCAGACACTTACCTCTACATCCCACCATAGGGACTGCCAATACTTGAATCCACATGCCACAAAGGTTGACTGTTGAACCAAGAACTCACTATAATGTCATGCTATCCTTTCTATAAATAGTTCATTCATTGTTACATTGATTCAAGTCACAGCATGAATTTTTAAGGAATACTTAAGATCAAGACAAGTTTAGTTACTTACAATTCAACATTACTGAAGACAGCACCTAGCCATTCAAATAGTTCCTGTGCACTGCATGATTCTTCTGGCTTTCCTTGCAGTTCATTGCTATCCAGCACTGGACATTGCAAATTTCTTAATGTGCTGAATGTTATTTTTGGCTGATGAGCCTGTATTTGGTGTTTGGAAAAGTATGACATCAATGTTGATCCATCAGCACCTTAACAACACACATGCCACAGAGAGTTATTATAACACTGCAACACAAAAGGACCATTTCATACCAAATAACTCTGAAACCCCTACCTGTATTTGTAAATGGAAGATGTTGTGCAATGTTACCCTGAAATTTAAACTGCTTAGTGCTGCTTATTTATCCTGTGCCAAAGCCTTACAGTTTTCATCTTCTCCCTCCTTTTTTGGAAACAAAGCACTGTTTTAGGTCCAGTTACCTTAAGCAAGCCAAGCTGGCAATACATATATAATTATACTTATCATGAGAAATAATTAAGGCAGTTTTAACTGGACTAGTACAAATTAAACCTGAATTAGAGATCATCATCAAGTATTCATGGGTTGTTTCCAAAGAAAAAGAGATATGAAAGGAGAACTGATTTAAACATTTCTGCTCACTCTTGATCTGTGAGATTGTACATGGAGAATCTGACCATTTCACTGTTAATAATAATAGAAATTACAGATTTGGAGGCTTTCATAGTAGTGTTTTACAAACAGAACACCACCAATTACTAACATTTTGTTTTGAGAATCTGGGATCTTTTCTCCTCCAAAACATCAAGATACATGAATACACTTAAAGAAACATTAAAAATGGGAAAAAGATCATTTAATAGCATCTGTGCATACACTTTGAGATCCTTCACTAAAAAATAAAACATCTAAGTATAAAGACCTCAGACAAAGTATCCTCCCTCTGAAAAAAAGCTGCAATCCATTCGTAAAGATGCTCTACAGTGGCCACAGAGTGTTCGCATTCTACATGCCAGGAGCAGTGTCAACCTAACCCAACCCCCTGGGCTGGATCCAAACTGTGGGGCTCCTCACAGGCCAGATGCAGTGGTAGGCCAAGCAACAGCACCAGTGGAAGTTAACACAGCCCACCACTCAGACACATCCCCATACCCTAGATTTCAGTGGTGTACTCCACCCCTTGCTCATCTCACCCCTCTAGGGGTCCCAAGAACCAGAAAAAGAGATCTGCGAGCTGGATCTGGCCCATGGGGTATGCGTTTGACACCCTGTGCTAAAGGAATACATCAGATCCCCAAAACAGAGGGAATAGGAACAATCCTCTCCCAAAAAAACTTTCCATTTGGGGAAACATTTTGGTCACTAAAAAAAAAAAAAATTCTCCCCAAAACTGAAACGTTTTAATTTGGAAATGCTGCTGCAGTGCTTTATACTCTTGTTGTCCTATATGAGCCAGATTCTCTGGTTGAAGTATATGTTCCATAATGTCTCCTCTCTTGAACAGGGAAGGCAGTGCATCAAGGAAATCCTCAGTTATAGGAGACAAATTCAAACTAGGCAGCCTGGCCCACATTGCTAAGGCAACTGAGCTATGACTCTCATGAGTTGGTGTGGCAGCACTTTTAAACTGAAATATTTGTTAGTTCTTAACTCTGCAGTGAAAACTTTTTTCCCTCCATCAAGTCAGTTTTTTCACCACTTATAGAAAAGTCAATACTGAACACAGACTGGCCATGTCAATATTAAACATCAAACTACACTTGCAATATTTTTTCCTCTCTCTCCACCTTTGAGACCACATCATTTAGTGCTGCTTTTTAAAAAGCTAGGAATATTTCCACTAGGAATATTTAATTTTACGTCCACAGCTACCTGTTGGTGGCAGTGTTAATTGTTACTACCTGTGTGATGCCAGGACAGTAGAAAATCAAATTCCAAAGGTTTCTTGTCTCTTAAGGCCCAAAGAACTCTTTTATATTTCTTGCTATCAGAATGAAAGGCTGAGTCAGTCAAGTCAATGGTTATAACTGTAACAGATAAAAAGGCAAATTTTACTCAACCAAGTTCACTCTACATAGTCAGATCCTGTAAACATTACAAGAATACTATAACAGTATTTTTTTTTCTTTTAAGTCAATCCCTGCTGTTTAGAGAAAACATTAAAAACTGCTAAACAATACAGCTACGGCCCTTCGTTTTATAAACATTTTTCTCTGAATTTTGGTGCAAATGACAATGATGCTGTTCCTTGGTAACATCTCTGCTTGTTCCTGACTATCACTGTTCAGAAAATCAAGGACTGTTTAGATTAGTGCTGCTCAACTTCCAGCCCACAGGCCAGATCCAGTCCTCAGAGCCATTTCATCTGGCTTGCAGGGCTCTCCATGAGTCTGGAAATTTTATAGTGGAAGATCAATGGCAGCCTTAATTGCTGCTCTCACAGGAAGCCAGAAGACACAGCCAGACCCCTGTGCTAGATCATGCCAGCCTCCGGTGGGTCAGCACATGGGGTCACTTCTCAGCTGGGTCTGGTCTGCAGGGTTGAGCCACATGCAGGATCAGGCCAACATGCAGGATCACACCCACAGGCCAACTCCGCACTCAGGATCCAGCTCACGAACCAGCCCATACCACACATCTAGCTTGCAGGGCCAAAATGTCAAGTACCACTGCTTTAGTTAATGGCTTTCTAACATTACAGTGGATGCAGCTCACTTTTGAGAAGGGAATGAAGAAGAAAGGGGTGTTCCACCAAAAATATGCTTTTAAAAAGAATTTGAGGCAATAATCACTGCATTTAAAAAAGGATGCTATAGCTTTCAACATCCGCAAAAGTTGTAAGCAAGAGTTGCAGCCCTGTTTCCATTCTGAGTCTGTTTCCTCAGAGCCTCTGAAGGAATTTTAAAAGAGGAATTTTTATTCATTCATTTTATGGTATATGAATTGCAGTTATAAAACTATTTACTATAGTGCCACCAAGTGTTTTCATGAAGATAACTTTCAAAGTACATCTGGTTTTGAGTGAATTTTTGTCTGTAGTTACCTAGAAGTAAGTAGCATTTTGAGATTTGGGGAAGTTGGGGGCAGGGAAATTAAAGGGCAGAAACTGATATAAAACACAACACTCTAAACACATCCACAAGGCATCTGCCAAGAACTTCACAGTTTGTTCAGTATGCAAGGCATGGGGGCTATAGCAGAATCAATTTGCTTCAAAAAGATTTTAAGGACATCATAAACGCATGTAACATATTTTTCTTTAAAAAAAGGATCTCTTAGGCTTGGGTTCTTCACTGCAGTATTTTAAGCTTTCTACAAGTTCAAATGGAACAAGTGGAGAACCTTAGTATTTTTACTACAAAGACAGAGGCATCATACATATTCCAAAAATGCTGAAGTTCTACACTTGCACAATACAAAAGACCGGCAATTGCAAAATAAGTTAGGGAACACAGAAATTAATGTTCTTAAAGTAGCATCTACAAGCTTACACACGTTAAAAATATTAATGTAGTCCACTTTTCCCATTTGAACTCTTATTTTTACTTCATTGTTTCTTGAATAGTTCACATATTTCTCTCAATTGTCTCAGTACCTGTATTTATTCTTTCAAAGATTAACCAGCTTTACGGGACCTGAAGATTATGGCTGGCATCATATTAGAGAACTCTGCAGACATTGGCATGGATGCTGCTAGTGTAAACAGTACTTACTATATCTCATTACTTTTTTGCCAGAGTACCGAGATGGATGACCCTGTAGTCCAAGTTCCTCATAAGTATCCTTGTCCACAGATATAATTAGTTTTCCTATAAACAATAAGAATTGTATTAAAATATCAATACTCTTCCAATAAGCTCCCTTGTAAGTATTTGGAAAACCTCAAACTGTATAAAATTTAGCCACGGGTCACTGCGGTACTGATGTAATCTAGGCCCCTTTAGTTTCTGTTAAATGGATCACACAGGTTGACCCTGAAAATAACAACTAGATTCTTGCTGGTTATCACAGTATGTCTTATGGCTAGTAAAAATAAATCCAAAATAAAGTATTTCCTAAGTAATGCACACCTTCCTTTTGTAATTGTGCCATCTTGTACTCTTATCAACCTCATTCCCTACCATTTGTTACAATCATTTGTTGAATTCAGTACTCAGCTATCATCCAATTTTGCTAACTCACACACACACATGCTTGAAATGTTTAAGCACATGTGTTGTTCAATAGATTTCAATGGAACTACTCATGTGAGCAATGTTAAATGTATGCTTTAAGCGTTTGTAGGTTAGGTGCGCATAGCGAAAACTTTGTAACACTGAATGTGTCTTATTGTGTCTTTGTATTTAGCACAATGGAGCCACAATCCTGAATGTGAACTTTGGACACAAAAATAAATAATACTGTTGCCAAAATCACCCCCAGTAACTAAGGAAAGGATAGACTGTATAATAACTGTATTTGTTTGTAATATTTACACCAAGGTAACACAAAGTAACAAGCAGAATCAGGTCATCAATTTCTTAGAGTCTGTTTAAACGCACGGTAACACAATCCTTGTCTGAAAGAGGTTACATGAGGAATCTGAATTTAAATGACTTTCAGAGAAGAAGTGTTACTTTCCCGCAACTCAATTATGACATTAATAAGAGATCAAAAATGTATTCGTCTATAAATACATTTACATTTTTATAGTAGTCAATATAATATTTATCAGATAACACATATATCATGAGGGGTTTGGAACAGTTACCTAAAACAAAGCTCTTCCTTATCTTCTCCAATGTAAAATGCATCTGAGAAAAAAGCTTTATTATAATATTCTGAGGGAGGTATCACTGAACTGTTTCTTAAAGTATTTTGAGAAATGTTAAAACAGTACTTACCAATATGTTTTAAAGGGGAACTGTCAATTCAAATTTGGTTTAGATTTCAGAATTTGTAGAAAACAGATTTTAATTAGATTTAGGACCAGCAGAAATGCTTAACTCCAATGGAAAGTTTTCAGACAAACAATCCTCTGGAGCATTTGCAACTGAAGGGTTGCAGTACTGACTGTTCAAAATAAATACAAACTAAACTAACTTTCTTGACCTTCACTGTCCAAAATGAGAGAAATTAACTAGGTTAAACATCAACGTCAGGTGTAACTCTTGTATAAGATGTTTAATTTTAATGATGTATTATTAATAAATATCTGTTAAAGTATAATATTTTTCAATTTTCAGCATCCCCTAAAAACAAAACAACAATGCTACTCTAAACATCACATAATACCCTATGTATTGTAAACAACATGGATACTTACCCGTTGGTAGTAGAGCAGCAGTATTATCTTGATCAATTCTTGTGTTGTATGTAAGAGCATAGCATGAACCTTTAACACAATGAAACAGTAAATTGAGTTCACAATTTTCTGAGAAAAAATATACCAGCAATATTTAAGGCAGATTCCTCTCAAGGTAATAAAGCCTGCTAGTTGCTCTTCAGATCTTGTTTAATTCCTGTACTGCTGGTAATTCATTTTCCCTCACTACAATGGTATTGCTTCTATAAAAATTACAATCACATTTATTTTCAGGAGTTCACAGCACAGATTAAGTTAATTCTAGACACAAGCTTGAAAGATGCCATTCAACCAGAAATGCCTCTCTTTTTACCAATTTAGAAAAAAGTGTTAGTCCAGCCTGTTCTCAGCTATCAACTCACACTGAAAAATAAAGAGGAAAATATCATTACAATTATGTGCATTTTGCAGCCTTTCCTGCCACAATCTGCTTCATGTTCTAAAAATCAAGGGTATGATCCTGTAACCTTGAAACAGGAGTATCTCCACTGATTTCAATAAAACTGCTAGGATCAGAAGCACTTACGAGAATAAAAGTAGCAAGAAAAACCCTGAATTTAGCAGGCAAGTAAGCTTTAATGGAGGGACACCTACAGTGTCTTTTTGTGTCAGCTTGTTTAAAAAATATATACATATATATATATAGATATATAGATACATAGATATATATAGATATATTGCTCCGAGAATTAGTTTTGAGATGCAGGGAAATTTTTAGCATTAAGAAAGCAGTGGACAAGCATGGAGATGTGCTTTGAGTGGCTAGAGTGTCATCAATATACTTTTTCTTTAGAAGATTAAACATCAAAACCAGGAGGCGCATTGTTCCACCTTTGATGATCACAGTAGAGAAAGGAATAAGGGAAGAATACATCTCAAAGCACATATTTTTATGTACTCTTTGGACCTAGAAGTTTTTATTCCCAAGTAATATTTCTATGATGGTTTTTATGCAAAGATTTAGACACTTGCATTATTACAAACTCATATGGATAAGAGTAAATTAAGTCATCTCTAGGCTGGAAGAGAGCCATCATTAAACAATCACAACACCTTGCAAGAGTGCACAATACAAAGCAAACCATAACTAATACCCAATTAAAATTATAAGAGAAATCTGCACTGGCAGATCATGAATACCCAAATGGAAATGAGTTGGAACACAAAGGCCAATCTTCCTTCCCTTTCTTTTTATGACAAATGCCATGGGTCTTACACATGTTCACCTTTTGCTATTCCCAATAGGGTCTCATCTCCCAAACTGGGACTTTTTACATCTCACTGTCCCCCACTCATATATAAAACCACTTAATGATTCTTACCTCAAAACTCTCTAAGGCAAGAAAACAAAGTATTAATAGCTGAAATCTTGGAATCCTTACTTTTAAAGGACATAAAACATTACTCTCTAGTGGCTCTCAAGATCATTCCCGTTAGAACTGTGCAGGGACAGTGTGCTGTAAAGGACAGAAAAATAAATGCTTTCAAGGAACAGTGTACCTTTACAAGCACTGGTCTCAGGGTGCTAGCCAGAAAAGATCTATTAATCTAACTGAAGTACAGAAGTCTCTTTTTCTCTCACCATTAAAAAAAAAAATTAAGGAAAAACAATTACACAAAAGCCAATGCGCACTGACTTGCTGACTCTCCTCTCCTCTTCCTGTCCACTTTTCTTACCATTTCTTTTACCAACCTCTTCCTCTGCATTATGATAGCTATACAAGTACATATACAAGTGAACAGAAAGAAAGAGAGATGATGGGACTGATACAGACTTCTACTCAAATACTTTTCTCCCTCTGCTTACAAATAACTCTCTGAACCAAGACTACCCCCCACAGAAACTAACAAAAACATGTTTTATTATTAAAAAAAACAGATAACACCTTATTTGTTTGTCTTATTTGTTTTAAGCTCTCCTTTACCTGTCTTTACAAATGCACTGATAAATTCCTGTGCAACCAATTCATGAAGGGGTAAATTCTTCACCAGGTAGTACTCTCCCATATCTGCGGTAACACTTTTCAGAGGTTCTGGAAGCATGCCACATTCAGGAATCAAAAATGACACCTGTTAGGACCATATTTGCAATACACATTAGATGTTACACTCATACATAAAGAAAGGTCTAAAACAGGGCTGGAGGAGAGAGAGGGGGAAAAAAGCAAACACGGAGCTCTTATATCTGGGTGGTTCCCTAATGTGCAAAGTGAAGAGCCAGATTTTCAAAAGCTCATTCAGCATACCAAATGTAGCACTGCAACATGATTTGTGTGTCAGAGACTTTGAAACACTGCAACCTGCGGGCCAAAAATGGATTAAGTTTAATTATAAATTATAGAAAGACTTTCCCCAAGCAACTGTATGTCCCTTGAGGATGTTTCTCCAAAATGCTTATAAAACATTCAGTGAAACAATATGCATACCAATCAATACTGTAATCAGTGGACATCTACTTTGCAGCGGACAGCAAATATGGAAGCTGGAATAGCGTGTGGCACCACACAGAAGTAAAAACAACTTTATCAATTGGGGGAGGAGGGAAAACCGGAGTAGAGAAGCAGAAAATAAAGAAGATACCTGAATTTAGACTACACAAATGTGCACTTTTCATATTATGGGCGGTGTAATCAAGTGTAAGCGTAATCAAGATTGATGCAGTGCACCCGAGCAAGGTTAGGCAAATCAACCACAATATCTTGAACTTGTCACACTTGCTAGCATTTAAAGAAAAAACTTCAAAGAAATAAAGCATCTGTGTTTTAATCTGCCATTTTATTATGTGAATGCCATATTCACAAGGCTACAGCAACCACCACAGGCACGGTTTCAAAGCTAACTCCATACGGTGGCTTCAGAGTATATAAAGATTTATTGTGGTGATAATATGGACAACCTGTTGCTCCATTTCACACAGGTATTAACTCAAAACAGGTGGTAGCAGTGGTGATTTAATTCATGTCAAAGCAGGGACAACACAAAGTAAAAACCAAGTGACAGGCACATTACAAATAAAAACAAGCTCTAACATAATTGTTCCAAACAGAATAAGAAAAAACAGATAGAAATGCTTTAAGTCAATTATGTCAGCAAAAGTTTCCCATTAATTTCCTTGAGCCACTGGTATCACAGCCTAAGACTGGGAAAATCTTATTTCCTAGCTGGACAATCAAATTTAGTCTCAGGTGCTCTGAAGGAGCAATGACATTTTTTTTTCTACCCAGACTCCAGGAAATGGAGACTTTCCTATTGGCCTAATCATTTGACTGGCTGCCCTGGTCACTCTCAAACTTCTTAGACCTTTGGAAAGTGCCAGCTCTTAGCTTTCATGTTTTTTGACTACAGAAAAAAACACAGAACTCGAAAAGCCAACAGCAAATCTGAAGGTTTCTGACACTCTGGATTCCTGTCTGAAATATCTGGCCACATCCAGATGAACGCGGACGTGTGGTATGCAGTGCCACAGATGGGTCTACAGCACCACACACTGCACATGCAGGTGTTCTCCACACTGCTACCTTCAAGTGGGGGGGTGGAAATCCCGGGGTCAAAAAAACCCACGCTGAAAAGCCGGATGGTGTACATGGCAGCAGCGCATGCTGCCCAAAACTGGAGCTTGGCTGGCCAGAGCCACACTCCAGCTGCTGGCCAGGTCTCCTACTGTGGCTGCAGCCCCGGGAGGCCCCAGGGACCCCACATAAGGCTGCTGGGGCCAACACAGTTGCTGGCCTCAGCCTCCCCTACCCCACGCGGGGTAACCTGCCACGTGCCAGAGTGCATAGCATGGGCGTTCCCCGGGAACAGGTAGCAGTGGCAAAAGATGTGCTGCTGGTACTTGTCCCCAGAGAAAACAAATTCCTACGCTCATCTGGACTCACCCTCTGGGTTTATTTTGTCACTCGCTTGCAGGCGCTTGCCTGCCAAGCACCGCTAACGCGGTGCGGCCCCCTGAAACAGCCCCAGGCACCCCGACTAAGACTCTCTGAGCCCCTGCTGACCTGTTACATCTGGGCAGGGAGGGCAATTGCTTTGCTCTGGGCTGAAAACACCATGCTGAGTTTGGGTTGGGTTTGGTTTGATTTTTTGGCTTGTCTCCCAGCTCTGCCGCTGGCTTGGACCTTGATGTGCCTCGGTTTTCCTATTTGTAAAATGGGGAGAGGGCCAAGTGCCCAAGCAAAAGCTTTGGGCAGGATATGCCCCCCTGGGCATTAAGTGCACCCAGGGAGAGAGGGACAGGAAATCTTCCTAGGGTTTAATGACAACAATGCATTGCTCTCCCTCAGGAGGAGCCGACAGGCAGAGCGAGTGTGGTGACCTCACAACCTTGCACCTCCATTTTTCTATCTGTAAAATGGGGGCGGGGGGAGCACACAGGCCAAAGCTCAGGCCACTGTCTCATCCCGAGTACTAATGGCATTCACGCACCTAACGGGTGGGGGTCCTTCGAGTTTAATGTGTGATTAACTAATTAACAGTTTAATTACTCTCCCTAACAAGGCCCAGGCGAGCCAGGAGCTACGCCAAGCCGCGAAGCCCCGCCCCCCGCGCGCACTCACGCGGCAGTTGTAGGCGTGGCCCCGCACGCGCGCGGCGTGGCGGGAGCGCTCATGCCGCACGTGGCTCCTCTCGCAGACCAGCAGGTGCCGCGGGGTTTCGCGGAGCCTCCGCAGCGGCGCCGACATGCTGCAGCCGGCGCCAAACCCCCAGCCACCAATCAGGAGCCGGGCCGGGCGGTGTCACCGAACCGGGGCTGGCGGAAGGAGCTCGTGAACTCACTTCCGGCGGCTTTCCTGCGCTTCCCTGCAGCTACTTCCGGGGCTGGCTCTTCTAGGGCGGAAGGCGCCCGAGGGGTGTGCGCATGCTCAGTGGTGCCTGGGGAAGGTGTTGCAGTCATCTTATGCTGAAGGGGGGGATGAGCAAGAGGCATAGGGGCAGCAGGAAGGGGGAGGAGCTGCGGCTGCTTGTGGTCAGCTGGTGGCTGCCTGCCAGGAACCTCATGCAGAGGTTTTCCTGCGCTGTTTAAATGTTATTTATGTGTTGTCCGCCCACACCGCCAAGTATCATTTCCTCCTGGTTTGCAGAATTGCCAGGGGCAAACACTGAGGCATCATCATTCGGGTGAGAGGTTTCTACAATCTAATGAATTTGTCTAATGACTTAATTATTTTCCAAGTCTTGGCTGTAAGCTTGGCTCCAAGCATTGTTCTTGTTACCAATGGAATTAGAAATCTCCTTTTAAGAAGAGGAAGAAAAAGCTGTTTTTCTTGTAATCACTAGACTCCAGGAGCTGGGGATTTGGAAGAAGGATGCAAGAGCTGTGATAAAACCTTAAACCTTGATGATGCTGAAGAGACTCTTTCAAATCCTTATCTGTCTCCAGGAGCTGAGGAAGTAAAGTGCGAGTATCTCAAGTCACAAGAAAATCACTAGAGCTAGCAACATGGAAACTGCAGCCTGCTAAAGAGTTAATTCATCACCTGTCCCACTTAGAGTTAAGGCTATTTTGTGGGGGGTGGAATGGTATCTTCTGTTGGACCAACTGCATGGTTGGGAGAGATTTTGGATGAGTGTTGAAACACAAGGTTTTGGGCAATGAAGAGTTAAACTTTTTAAAAATTTATGTATCATGGTGCTTAAAGGAACTTTGTGTCATCAGTGTGAGGGAAAGATAAGTTAGCCAAATGCAAAACAATGTCAGAAAAACATGGGTGAGACTGGTGTACAAAGTGTAGAGCTCCTTCCATGATCAATACATTTTTTTTTCTATGGTTAGGCCTGGTTCTTTGTTGCTTTGCCTATCTGCTGTGTGTTTACGCTAGAACATTTTATTTACATTCAAACAATGTGAGTTCATCGTGGATAGATAATATTATCAAATAATTGATTTTGTATTTGCTGTAGTCCTTTCATGCCATGCACATTTATTAGTAGAAGTATCTCTAGCATGGTTCCTACACCATCGCATGGGAAATTCCTCACCCTCTTCACAAACACACACTCACACTCAATGAACACCAATAATGGTACAAGCTGTAGGAAATTCCATCATTCTCTTTCTCGCACACTTTGATAACATTACATCCCATAGGAAACCCCTAGGCACACTGATGATCACCTCATTCACAGAAAGCTGTATTGCTAATACATCCTACGAGATTCACTCATCGCTCTTAAATGTAGATACTTCTCTTTCTACATTGATAGTGGCAGGACATCAGTGTAGGATGTCAGCTGTAGTACAGTAGTAATATAATATCCCCTAGTCCAGCCACTTCAAGCAGGCACTAATAATGAATGAGCCATCCCTCATGTATTCTCATGTCCTGTATTCTAGACAGCAATTAAGAAGTGGTAATTGACTTCTTCCACTCAAGATTCCTCCTGTGAACCAGAAAAAATGGCTGGAACAATTAGGAAGCATGTTTTTTTGCTATTTCAGGAGCCCTGCTGGGTAGAGTCAGAATCCTGAGAGAGATGGTCCTTGGAAATACTGAGCAAATGAGGGATGTGTCTGTCATCTGTGGGATGTGTTGAAGCATATAGACGCCTTGAGGACTGTGTGAAGTGAAAATGAATGTGTTAGGGCCTTGCTAGGGGTGTAAAGACCCACAAGATGTCAAATGTGCTGGAGGCAGTTTAGCAGCCTGCCCCTTTGGCAGACAACTTATAACCCTACATAGGAAATACATATCTGGACCTCAGAAAACTGTGAGGTGTGTTGAGAACTTGTAAGACAGGCCAGTACATAGATTCTGCTCAGGTGTTATCACGATCTCGTGGGAATTTTTGGGACTCTTTGAGCTATCTATGAATTTGGGCTCATTGAGACTGTGAGTACTCATATGCATTGAGTTTGACAGGATTTTAAAAATGTTGCATTTCTGTTTTACCGGGCTTGCAAGATAGGAATGCTGAACCATAAGTAGGCCTGAGCCTTGACATCTGCCTAAGCCATATCTGATGAGTTAGAGGCTGCATACAGACCCTACCCTTCACATCGGTTCAACAGCTATAGAGTCTGAGATACTTACCCCACAAAGACGTAGTAGTCTGGAAAGTCATGATTATGACTTTTCTAAGATTAAAGATGAAGGATGTGTAAATTGCCTTTTCCTTTTCTACTCGTCCTCCTTCCTTAGCCATCATCTCTTTGTTTTCTGTCATTCTGGTTGCTCTTTCAGCTTAGACCTAGTACAAACTACCTAAAGTGACCATAATCACAGCTACCAAGTCAACCCATTTTCAAATGTCTCCCAGAGTTTTTCAATACATAAATAATAGAAAGAGGAAATAGAAGCCTGTGTCTAGCAAGCTGTAAATGCTGAGTCTGAAAGAAGACAGGTTTTATAATAGTCCATCAACAACTGCTCCAGGAATGACCAAGAACTTCTGTAAGATTGCTACCTTAGCAATGTTAGTATACTAAGTTAAAGTTAAGCCACAGTACTGTGAAGGTCACGGCACAGGATCTAACTTTTGTTATCTCATGTCAGCATGTAGGACTATGTGAGAATGATTGCTTACTTCTCTAATTGGGTGGCTGCCAAGAAAAAAAATTCCTGTTGGTTGCTGCACTGTTTTTAAGAGACAGGATACAATTAGGTCATTTCCAAATGAATCTGAAGTGTCAGACCTCTGTTATTTCACTAGCTCACCTGATATATAGTTTGCTGGACTAATGTCAGAGCTCAAGTCTGAGTTCACCAGTTCACTCACCAAGTGATAGCTTGTTGAACTGATGTAAATATTTTGAGTTCCTGTAAACTGATTAGCTCAACACCTCCAGCTTGCTGGACTAAGGATGAACCATGAGCTTCTGGGAGCTGACCATCTATACCACTGTAGTGTGCTGGGATGGTATCCAGGCACAAAACTCGATTAGGATCAGCTCTCTCAATGGCTCTAGCCTGCCGGTGTCACGCCAAAGATGTATGACATCCCTGGCTCAGCACTTTTGGCTTCCTGGACTGATATCAAGCCACAAATGTATTCTGGGTAACTATCACAGAAGTTATAGCTCTTGAACTGATGTGAAGTTTTGCATCTGTTAGATATACCTTCGACTCATGTCAAGGCTTATGCCTCCCTAGGGTTAGTAGCTCAGCATTTTTACCTTGCCAAATTGATATCAAAGTTGAGGCCTCTGTGATGTATATGTTTGTGCTCCATTGGTACAGGCTGTAGCTATATTATGATCTGGGCCTTGGTCTCTGATATTGCTGGCTCATGCCTATACTCTACTTGCTGATTTATTTGAAGAGGCTGGTTAGTATATGTCCTAGAAGAACCATAGATTACTGGTGTGATAGTAGGTGCAAGGTCATTATGAATTCACTAGCCCAGTACTCCTGGCTTGCTTGGCTGATTCTATGACACTGATCTCTGTAACGTGTCTGGCTTTATGTGTACGCCTTTCTGGGGTGATGCCAACCACAGTCTGCTTGGAGCTCATTAGTTCCGCACTTCCAGTTTGCTAGGTTTTTGTTAAGGTATAGGGTTTGGAAGTCACTGCCTCAGTGACATTTTTAAAGGGTAGTTTAAATTCTACAGACAAGCCAATTGCATGTGTAATTACAAGGCTCCTAATTTGAAAAGAATGTACCTGTTACATTACATTTGCCTCTGGCTGATATTCACATGGTCATTTATAAAATATAAAAATTAGATGATTCGTGTCAGCTAAATAAAGTATGCAGCTGCAAGATTCAACTATCAGCATGTAGATACAGCATTTACAGACCTTCAGGCAAAGCTTGTGTCAACAGATGAGCTTTGCACCATTATTTGAACATGAGTTGACTTATGCTGTGTCACAAAAGTGAAAATGTAAGCGTTCATTCATTTGCAGTGCAGCTCTTATCTTGTGGAGGGGTAATAATGAGAGGGTTAGTGCTTTCTACTGTTGCTAAATTAAGTTCAATGAAAAATAAAAGTGGTGGGCAGGGTCTGGACAGACAACATATGGAGCTGTGTATCTAGCAAAGCCTAGCTGTTTTTTTCTAGGGATGGTGGTCAGAGCATATTTTACTCCATTTCAGTCGAGTCCTGTAATTTTCATTGCTATATTTTTAGACTTATGCAACTGCCAAGCCATCACTGTTATCCCTCACTCACATTGATTGTCACCAGATACAGTGATGTGTATTAAAAAAAATCTTTGCGATGTATACAATAGTCTTTAAAATGTCAGAGTATTCATGTTTAAATATAAGCTGTCTCAGGACATGGTAACTGTTGTAAATGTTGACTTCCTTACATTGACTACTATATTTCTATGCTTAGCTAGGTGTGAGGTTTCTAAGTATTGTGACATTGAGCATTTTAAACATAAAATCATTTGTATTTCTCAGACCCTGGAAATCCACCACAGTCTCTGTAGGTGTCTCCACTCCAAATCTGGGTAATTAGGTAATACAACAGTTTGGTTTTTATATGTTTGAAAAAAATTATATGTTGTCATCAAGAAGTAGCATTTTGAGGCAGAGTGTAGTAATGGCTTGGAGTTGGGTAGGATTTGTGAAATGTTTCCTGGCACTGGTGAAAAACTGACTCTGTTTTCTATAAAGATGACAGGATTTGGAATGAAATGCCTGGTCTTCACATTATCTGGAAATGTTTCTTGTCACAGAAGCCAAGAGCTTCTTCCATATATTTTTTCAGCTTTGAAATCAGATCTGGTTTCTCAAAGCTGAGGTGCAGTGTAAAGCACAAAATGATCTTTTAAATTTCTTTGCATTCTGGTTTGTCATCTATGACTAGAAATCAGATAGGATTAACATATATAATTCAATACTGCTGATTCTTAACATTTATTTGCCATG